CGATATTCTTTTGAGAATAGATGTTGGAGAAGCAGAAGGGTGTCCTATTGGGAAGATTTGTAGGAGGGGCTATAAAGTAGAAGGTCATTAAAATACTGAATAAAGTGAGAAGCAGATGGACGGAAAGAAAATAAATCATGAGAAAGGGCTTGACTGAAGTAATGGGGGCTGTTCCTGTAGCCTTGCGGCAGTACAGCCTAGGTAAGCTGCTAAGCCTGATGGGTGTTTCCTAAACAAAGGAATGAACACACAAGACAACACAGGACAAGACAAACATGGCAGCCGCTTCGAATGGCGTGCTCTGCTTTATTTTATACAGTCGTTTGTGGAATGTTGCCAAGTCACAAGAAACATTGTTGTTCTTCTGACCTTTCTCTGACTTTCTGGATTTTCAAGATGTTTACACATAAACAAGCCTCCAACACCCTGCTTCCTTTGCAAGAGCAGGACTTATCAGGAATGCCCTGCTTCATTTGCAAGAGCAGGACTTATCGGGAATGCCTGGCTTCGTTTGCAAGAGCAGGACTTATCGGGAACGCCTGGCTTCGTTTGCAAGAGCAGGACTTATCAGGAACGTCTCGTTTGCGAGCACGTAGTCCTCTACATGTGTCAGGGTCAGTCCAAGTGAAAGCAAAGAGAGGTTGGGATGAAGGGTGCAAAGGAATAGTAAAGGAAGCATGTTTGAGATCCAGAACAGAAAAATGGGTTTTGGAGGGAGGTATTGATAACAAAAGAGTGTACAGGTTGGGTACTACAGGGTGGACAGGCAAAACAATTTGATTGATAAGGCATAGATCCTGTACTAACCTGTAAGACTTGTCCGGTTTTTGGACGGGTAAAATGGGGAAATTGTAAGGAGAATTCATAGGCTTTAGAAGCCCATGCTGTAGCAGGTAAGTGGTAACAGGCTTTAACCTTTTAAAGCATGCTGTGGGATGGGATATTGGCATTGAGTGGGATAAGGGTGATTAGGTTTTAATGGGATGGTAAGGGGTGCATGATCAGTCGCCGAGGTAGGAATAGAGGTGTCTCATACTTGGGGATTAAGGTGGGGAGACACAAGGGGAGGATGTGAAGGAGGCTTTGAACTGGGGAAAAGGGTGGCAATGAGGTGTGGCTGTAGCCTAGGAATAGTCAGGGAAGCAGATAAGTTAGTTAAAATGCCTAGACCTAATAAGGGAACTGGGCAGGTGGGGATAACTAAAAAGGAGTGCATAAAAGAATATTGTCTCAGTGGCCGGGTGCGATGGCTCATGCCTGAATTCCCAGCATTTTGGGAGGCTGAGGCGGATGGATCACAAGGTCAGGAGATCAAGACCATCCTGGCTAACATAGTGAAACCCCGTCTCTACTAAAAATACAAAAAATTAGCCAGACATGGTGGTGGGCGCCTGTAGTCCCAGCTACTCAGGAGGTTGGGAGAATGGCGTGAACCTGGGAGGCAGAGCTTGCATTGAGCCGAGATCGCGCCACTGCACTCCAGCCTGGGCAACAGAGTGAGCTCCATCTCAAAAACAAAAAAGAATATTGTCTAAGCTGGCACCAGAGTTGGGGAGTTTTAAGTGGTTTAGAAGCCTGGCCTGGCTATCAATACCTACAACAGTTATGGAGGCAAGGGAAACAGGTCTTTGAAAAGAAGGTAATGTGGAGTGGGCAGCCTCCGTATTGATTAAGAAGGGCACGGCCTTACCCTCCACTGTAAGAGTTACCTCAAGCACCTGTGATGGTCCAGGAGGCTTTTCAGGCAACTGGGCAGCATCAGTCTTCAGCTGCTAAGCCGAGAAGATCTGGGAAGGAGTCAGTCAGAGAGCCTTGGGCCAGAATTCCAGGGGCTCTGGGAGTGGCTGCCGGGTTGGAGAGTCTGATTTCCAGTGGGATCCCTCACAGATGAGACATGGCTTAGGAGGAATCCTGGGCTGCAGGCATTCCTTGGCCCAGTGGCCAGATTTCTGGCACTTGAAGCAAGATCCTGGGGGAGGAGGTCCTGAAGGAATGGCTGACTGCTGTGGCTTAGGCGTTTTGAAGTTCTGTGCTGGAGATGTGGCTGGGGTTTCTCTCACAGCAGAGGCAAGTAATTGCAACTCAGAAATACACTGCTGCTTGGCTGCCTCTTTTTTATTATTGTATACCTTGAAGGCGAGGTTAATTAAATCGTGTTGTGGGGTTTGAGGGCTGGAATTTAAGTTTTGGAGCTTATTTTAAACATCAGGAGTGGATTGGGTAACAAAATGTATACTAAGAATAAGACGGCCTTCTGGCCTTTCCGGGTCTAGGGCGGTAAAGCGTCTAAGGGCTGTTGCCAAACAAGCCGTGGACTGGGCTAGGTTTTCATATTTGATTAAAAAAAGCCTAAACACTAACTGATTTGGGAGAGGTCGGATAAAGAAAAAGGAGCATTAACCTTGACCATGCCTTTAGCTCCAGCCATCTCTTTAAGAGGAAATTGTTGGGCAGGTGGGGGAGGGCTAGTCACAGAATAAAACTGTAAGCCGGACCGGGTGTGAGGGAAGGAGGTGATAGAAGGATTATAGGGTGGAGGAGCAGAGGCCGAGGAAGAATTGGGACCTGGTTCGGCCTGGCGAAGGGCAGCCTGGGGAGGAGGGGAGAGGTCATATAGGTCCGTAGATTCAAAGGACTCAGAGCTTGGGGTGGAGACTGAAGGGACAGACAGGAGAGAAAGAAGAAAGATTTGGGATGAGTCGCATTGGGAGCAGAGATTAGGAAGGGACTGATATGTAAAAGAATGCCTGGACATCAGGCACCTCAGATCATTTGTCCATTTTACAAGAAGAATTATCTAGATCTTGTAGGATGGAGAAATCAAAAGTGCCGTTTTCTGGCTATTTGGAAACACTGTCAAGTTTGTATTGGGGTCAAGTGGTGTTGCAGAAGAAAATAAGGCATTTAGGTTTTAGGTCAGGTGTGAGTTGAAGAGGTTTTAAGTTTTTGAGAACATAGGCTAAGGGAGAAGGAGGAGGAATGGAGGGTGGAAGGTTGACCATAGTGAAGGAAGCAAGCCCAGAGAAAAGACAGGGTAGAGACATGGAGAGAAGGGATGGGGGGGTACTTGGCCCACCCCAGGGAGATGGTGCTTGCCACCAAGGTGAAGGATCAAGGCAGGCATCCCTGTGGTGATCAGAAATCCCTGAAATGTGGGTGAATAATCAGGCAGGCGCCCCCACAGTGATTAAACATCAAGGGAAGGCTGTCTTCCCAAGTCCGTGACCGGCACTGGAGTTTTAGGTTCACAGATAAAATGTGTCTCCTCTGCCTCTACCAGAAAAAGAAAGCAACTGAAATTAAGGGAAGGGAGAGATTGAAAGTCGGCGCAGAAATTGAAAGGAGAAAGGGGTTGAGGGATAGTGAGAGAGGACAGAGAAGACAGTAAAAAGAGGTCAATTGCCCGATTTAAAATTGGTGAGATGTTCCTCGGGCTGGTTGGTCTGAGGACCAGAGGTTGTAGGTAGATCTTTCTCACAGAGCAAAGAGCAGGAGGACAGGGGATTGATTTCCCAAGGGAGGTCCCCCAATCTGAGTCATGGTACCAAATGTTTCAGCACCAAATGTCACATGCGTCCATGTGAAAAGACCACCAAACAGGCTTTGTGTGAGCAATAAAGCTTTTTAATCACCTGGGTGCAGGCGGGCTGAGTCCAGAAAGAGTCAGCAAAGGGAGACAGGGGTGGGGCCGTTTTATAGGAGTTGGGTAGGCAGTGGAAAATTAGAGTCAAAGGGGTTGTTCTCTGGTAGGCAGGGGCAGGGGTCACAAGGTGCTCAGTGGAGGAGCTTCTGAACCAGGAGAAAGAATTTCACAAGGTAATGTCATCAGTTAAGGCAGGAACTGGTCATTTTCACTTCTTCTGTGATTCTTCACTTGCTTCAGGCCATCTGGATGTACATGTGCAGGCTTGGGCTCAAAGGCCTGACAGGAACCTTTAAGAACATTTAGAAACTTTGCTCCAAAAGCCTATTTAAAAGTTGGTTGTCTGGAACTGGTTAGATTCTTAGCCCACAACAGCAAAGTATTTAACCCATAAATCTGCAGTATTTACAAATATTACTTTAAGTACAGTATCTAACCAGGACCACATTGTTTATGCTCCAAGACAACGCCTCTCATCTCGTTTGCAAGTCTCTGTTACTCCCAGGGCTGAATTCGCTTTCTTTTATTTTAGTCATATGTATTTCCTTTAGATTCCTATTAATAGTTCTATGTAAACACTTGACCACATCATACGACAAAATTTTGTTTTCACATCTTCCTCTCACTTCTAGATGGTGAACCCTCTAAGAGCAGAGTTTTCATTTAATTTTTGTATCCCCTAGTACAGTGATTGCCAAACTTTGCTGTTATCAGAATCACCTAGAGGACTCATTAAACTAGATAGCTGAGCCCCAGCCCTCAGAGTTTCTGATTCAGTAAGCCTGAGAATGTGCATTTCTAACAAATTCCTAGGTGGTGATGATGCTGCTGGTGGGTAAGAAGTGAGGGGGTGAAGAATGTGAAGACCTCAGTTTGATGCGCAAGGCTCTAGAGGTGTCTGCCCCAGTGGGTTTTATTTTTCAAGTGACTTGAGTTCATTCGTATCTACATCCTGCCCACTTACCCATTCCTGTCTACACATCTGAAGGTTGGCAAAGCTTGATGAACTTTTGTGAGAAGTAGTAAGCAAAGAATAATAAACAATAAAGCTATGGAAAAGCCTTCCCCCTGCATGAAAATTTGAACTTCACTTAACTAACGAGCTCTGTTACCCTGGCAACATGATAACTATATTGCTAAACAACACTGTATGTGATTTAAATGACAACTGACTGGTAGATTGATTGCATACGGACTAGAGACCTACAAAGACCCTATGGGGACACCATACTTTGGGCTTCCCTAAATTGGGACCCTAGAAACTTGCTATAGAGTTGTTACAAAAGACGTTGGCTCCTGTGAGCATAAAGTTATTAGGTTGCCATATCTGCCTAGTGTGGAACATATCACCTTCCACCTGAGCTGGACTGCTATGCCGGACTGCCACAAGGATGCCAGCAGAAAAGGGTCATCTAAGGTTGCTCTACAATGCAACAAATGCAAGTTTGTGGCTCCTGGTCTATATCTTTCTGGTATTAGGTGTGGCCTAAAGTAGTCTTATGCACCTGAATGTCTAGCAACTGGTGGTCTGCCTGGTATCTTATCCCAGATATCTGCAGAGCTTAAAGATTCACTTAGTCCAGGTCTTTGCTCCAATGCCCCATTCTAAAATAATCCAAAGCGGGGCATGGTGGCTCATGCCTGTAATCTCAGCATTTTGGGAGGCTGAGGAGAAAGGATCACTTGAGCACAGGAATTCGAGATTAGCCTGGGAAACATAGCAAGACCTCACCTTTACTAAAAAATTAAAAATTAGACACGATGGTGCACACCTGTAGTCCCAGCTACTTGGGAGGCTGAAGCAGGAAGACTGCTCAAGCCCAGGTGTCTGAGGATGCAGTGAGCTATGATCAACACCACTGCACTCCAGCCTGGGCAACAGAGAGAGAAAGACCCTGGCAATCAATCAATCAATCGATCAATCAAATGATCCACCTTTTCTCTCACTATCACTCTCTATCCCCTTATTCTGACTGATTTTTCTTCACAGCATTTTACTACTATTTGACATCATGTTAGCTGAATGTGGGTTTCCTTCCCTAAAATATAAGCTACAGGGAGGCAAGGACTTAGCCTACCTTTTTCACTGCTATATCCCCAGCACCTGGCATAGTAGGTGCTCAATGGATATTGCTGAATACATAAAAGAATTTTTTTTTTTTGAGACAGGTGTCACTTTGTCACCTAGGCTGGAGTGCAGTGGCATGATCTCAGCTCACTGCAACCTCTGCCTCCTGGGTTCAAGCAATTCTTGTGCCTCAGCCTCGCGAGTAGCTGAGATTACAGGTGTGAACCTGTAATCTGGCTAAATTTTGTATTTGAATAATTAACGTATTTTTGGATTTTTTTGTAGAAGTGAGGTTTCTCAAATTCCTGGCCTCACGTGATCCACCCACATCGGCCTCCCAAAGTGCTGAAGTTACAGGTGTGCGCCACTGTGCCCAGCTGAAGGAGTATCTTTACATTCCCTCTTCTCTACACCTTTGAATGCTTTTCTCCTCCTATACAATTTTCTATCCCATTCTTTCATTTTTTTATATATCAAAGTTTGATTTCTCCTTTATGCCCCCTCTGGTACTTAAGTAATTCGTTTGTATTACAAATGAAATTCAGAGTGTCAGGTCTTCCTTTATTATACTTTGTGATAATTTTGATAAGTGATCGCACACAAAAGGCAAAAACATTTACTGAAGAAAACAGTTACTAAAAAAATAGCTAAGCAATTTATGTGTAAACACTATAAGCATGATTTAACCTAAAACTAATTGCTTTGGCTCATCACTTTATATGCTCACAAAATATCATTATGTATTTACTTTAAAGCATATTCTCTTTATTAACCTAATTTTAATTAAAATTACTTCAAACTAATAAAACTGTAGTTCTTTAAAACATTTCAACTAGCTTTATATTTAGCAAGTTACTTTATAAGATGCATTTCTGCTTATTACCTTACTATCAATCTTTCCTCCCCGACAATGCTCTGCATGCATGATAATGGTGATTAGCTGACCGTTAAACCATCTCATCCTAAACTAGTGGGTAAGTGCAGAGTAACTGCTCTCCTCATTCTAAAATCTCTCTAGAAGGTTTAAATATTTAAATTAATAATGGATTGAATAATTTATAAATTCAACAAATTTTTATTCAAATATTTACTGCATATCTAAGTGCCAGATATTCGGCACTTGGGACAATAAAATGAACAAAGATTCCTACCCTCATGGAGCTTATTTGTTCTCACTGCGCCAGAAATAATTTTTTTAAAGCTCCTTGCTTCTCCAGGCATAGTAGTGTGCACCTGTAGTCCCATCTACTCAGGAGGCTAAGGCAGGAGGATCACTTGAGCGCATTTTGAGACTGTAGTAGTACACCCAGTGAACAGCCACTATGCTCAAGTCTGGACAACACAGCAAGACCCCCATCTCAAAAAAAAAAAAGTTCCTTGCTTCCTATGAACTATTATGTTTGACAGGCAAAAACTATCACATAACTACATATCAAAACTGATTATTTGTAAATAATGAATATTCTTTTTTTAAAATCAAGCTACTTCTAGGAGTTTATATAGATATGAGGAATAAAAATTAATATCTAAAGAAATATAAACTGGTCAACTGGGTATAGGTTAGGGGAATAACTATTATAATGTCACTGCCAATGTTATTGTCCTGCTATGTGACCTTGGGCATGTCACAGATTTTCAATTTCCTCCCTTACAAAACTGGTAACAATAAGGCAACAAGAGAGTTCTGGGGAATAACTACTGCATTACAGGCAAACATTCTGGCTATTATTTTGAGCTAATTTATAACAGACTGACCAAAACAGGTGCTGAGGTTTTTCCCTTTTCTATATTTATAATGTATTTACAATGTATTTTTCCACTCATGGGGGTTTATCTTCTTTAAAACCTGTACAACCCAATTAATGTTAATTACATTCTTAAAATATAAATGAAACCTTCAAATCATTTCCCCAAGGAAATTTTGTGAAATAAGCCTTTTCTTCTTTTCTCATTAAGGATGTAGAAATACACGGGCTTCCTGTCAAACTAAGACCGACTAGCCTCCTAAACAAACGCTGTAATACAAAGGTAATGTGTATCACTCCGGGCATACTGTCTCTGACAGCCTGCGGGCTAATAAAATTATATCTGACATATGACTAGAGATGCTAGGACCTACAAAAACATCTTTCAAAGCTTTAATTAAATTTCTTATATACTATTCACTGAAAGCTTTTTTCTCACAGTACTGATTTTAATCAAGATAATCTGAAATAAGTAAATTTTAAAGATTAGTGAGCAGATTCACAAGTACTCTTTTTAAAGGATTTCTTTTACCTACTAAACAAAAGCAAATGTGGAACCCAGAAAAACAGTGCACCTCAAATTTACTAATACTCAACAAAATTTTTGTACTCCCAACAGAGTGAAAAAGCAAAGAACAAAAAGTTTCATAGCTTTTCATTCAACTAGTTGAATAGATTCACTGCATTACACATAAAAATGGCAACAATTTTTCAATTTTAAAACTGACTTTGGAAAACTAAATACCATAGTGCCCTCTGCTGTCATTCTAAAGAAACTAAAGTGATCTATAAGATAAAGTCATTTTCAAATTTCTGAAACTATATATTCAACATAACCAACAAAAGTAGAAACAGCTTTACATTATTAACATTATAATACATTTTCATCTCCAAAATAGAGGTAGGTAACACCTTCCATGTCTGACTGCTTCAAGTACAAATAACAATAATATTCCCATACCCTGCAAAATTGTTTTCCTTACTACATTCTCTTATAACTGGCTTTAGGAGTAGAGGAAGGATAGACTTAGAAAAAAAAAACACCGTTACGATTTTTCTTTTTTTTTTTTTTTTTTTCTGAGACACAGTCTTGCTCTGTCACCCAGACTGGAGTGCAGTGGCCCGATTTCAGCTCACTGCAACCTCTGCCTCTCAGGTTTAAGCAATTCTCCTGCCTCAGTCTCCCAAGTAGCTGGGATTACAGGTGTGTGCCACCATGCCTGGCTAATTTTTATATTTTTAGTAAAGATGGGGTTTCACCATGTTGGCAAGGCTGGTCTCGAACTCCTGACCTCATGATCCGCCCGCCTCAGCCTCACAAACTGCTGGGATTACAGGCATGAGCCATTGCACCCGGCCACTGTTGTGATTTTTTAATCACAGTGTGAAGTTGTCCTATCCTACAACAGTGATATATACAATATATATCTGTTTTAAATATACATATATACTTTTTTTTTCTTTTTGCAAATTGGGCAGCCTCCCACAACGGAATAGATTCAGAGACACTCCCAAGAATAAATGTCTTTAGATGAGAGTTTCAGAGACCTGTGTCCCGGAGGGCATGCCTAGAGCAGTGAAGAAATTATCAAGTTTATTTGAACTGTGGACTTGAATCTTACTATCCTTAACAGGGAATCTCACCCTAAATATTTATTGTGCTTTGAGATAATGAATAATAGTAGTGAGACTCCACTATACTATCATTACTGACCAAAACATTTTTAAAGATTTTATCTCACCAATACTTCTTCCTTTTTTGATATCTAGTTTTGTGTTTGTTTTATGAGGTGCATCATATACTAATATATAATAAGTGTATGTAATTAGAGAAAAATAAGCCTACCTATTAAAATCCACCCTAATTTTTTAAAATCAACTGCAGTATGTAATCAAAATAATTATATCACTGGCCTAGATATGTTTGTTCCTACTAGGTCTATAATTAATAGAAGTTTTCATGTGAAACCAGAAGTTGGTTATTTGAAAGAATAAATAAGACAGAACACTGGCATCCGGGCACAGTGGCTCATGCCTGTAGTTCCAGCACTTTGGGAGGCCAAGGCGGGAAGATCACGAAGTCAGGAGATCAAGACCATCCTAGCTAACACGGTGAAACTCCATCTCTACTAAAAATACAAAAACAAAATTAGCCAGGCGTGGTGGTGGGCGCCTGTAGTCCCAGCTACTCCAGAGGCTGAGGCAGAAGAATGGCATGAACCCAGGAGGCAGAGCTTGCAGTGAGCCAAGATCACGCCACTGCACTCCAGCCTGGGTGACAGAGCAAGACTCCATCTCAAAAAAAAAAAAAAAAAAAAAAAAAAAAACCACTGGCTAGACTAACAAAGAAAAATAAAGAATCAGAAATGACAAAGATAACATTAACACCAACCCCACAGAAAGACCAAAAAAAAAAAAAGGAGATTAAGAACATCTCCATGCACATAAACTAGAAAACCTAGAAGAAATGGAAACCACAGGCCAATATCCTTGATGAGCATAAATGCAAAAATCCTCAAAAAAATATTAGCAAAACGAATCCAGCAGCACATCAAAAACAAATCCACTGCAATCTGATCAAGTAGGTTTTATCCTTGGGATGCAAGAGTGGTTCAATATATGCAAATTAATAAATGTGATTCATCACACGAAGAGAACTAAAAACAAAAACCACATGATCATATCAATAGATGCAGAAAAGGCTTTCAATAAAATCTAGCCTCCCTTCATGTTAAAAACTCTCAACAAACTAGGCACTAAAGGAACTTACCTCAAAATTATAAGAGCCATCTATGCCAAACACACAGCCAACATCACACCGAATGGGCAAAAGCATTCCCCTTGAGAACTGAAACATGACAACTCTGCCCACTCTCACCACTCCTATTTAACACAGTATTGAAAGTCCTGGCCAGAGAAATCAGGCAAGGGAAATAAATAAAAAACGTCCAAATAGGAAGAGAGAAAGTCAAACTATCTGTTTGCAGACAATATTCCTTTTTACCTAGAAAACCCCATAGTCTGCCCAAAAGTTCCTAGATCTAATAAACAACTTCTGCAAAGTTTCAGGATACAAAATCGATGTAAAAAAATCCGTGGCATTTCTGTACACCAATAATATCCAAGCTGAGTGCCAAATCAAGAACACAATCCCACTCACAATAGACCCAAAAAGAATAAAATACTTAGGAATATAGCTAACCAAGGAGGTAAAAAAATCTCTACAATAAGAATCACAAAGCACTGCTCAAAGAAAACAGAGATGACACAAACAAATGGAAAAGCATCCCAAGCTCATGGATAGGAAGAGTCAACATTGTTAAAATGACCATACTGCCCAAAGCAATATACAGATTCAATCCTAGTTCTATCAAACTACCAATGACATTCTTCACAGAATTAGAAAAAAAAAAAAAAAAAAAAAACTACTCTAAAGTTCATATGGAACCAAAAAAGAGCCTAAATAACAACTGCAATTATAAGCAAAAGCAACAAAGCTGGAGCAAACACATTACCAGACTTCAAACTATACTATAATGGTACAGTAACCAAAACAGCATGGTATTAGTACAAAAAAAGACATACAGATTAATGGTACAGAGTAAAATAAAGCCACATACCTACAACCCTCTGATCTTCAACAAAGCTGACAAAAACAAACAATGGAGAATGGATTCCCTATTCAATAAATGGTGCTGGGATAAGTAGCTAGCTGTATGTAGAAGACTGAAACTAGACCTCTTCCTTACACCATATACAAAAATCAACTCCAAGATGGATTAAAAACTTCAATGTAAAACCTAAAATTATAAAAATCCTGAAAGATAAACTAGAAAACACCACTATAGATGTAGGCACTGGCAAAGATTTTATGATGAAGATGCTAAAAGCAACTACAACAAAAATTAAAATTGACAAACGGGACGTAATTAAACTAAAAAGCTTCTGCAAAGCAAAAGAAACTTATCAACAGAGTAAACAGACAACTCACAAAATAGGAGAAAATATTTGCAAACTATGCCTCTGACAAAGGTCTAATATTCAGAATCTATAAGAAACTTGAATCTACGAGCGCAAAAAAAAAAAACCATTAAAACGTGAGCAAAAGACATAAACAGACATTTTTCAAAAGAAGACATATACACGGCAAAGAAGCATATGAAAAAATGCTCAACATCACTAATCACCAGAGAAATGCAAATCAAAATCACAATGGGATAGCATCTCACACCAGTAAGAATGGCTACTACTAAAATGTCAAAAAAAAAAATCAAAAGATGCTGGTAAGGCTGCAGATAAAAGGGAACGCTTACATACTGCTGGTGGGAATGTAAATTAGCTCGGCCACTGTGGAAAGCAGTTTAGCAATTTCTCAAATAACTTAAAACAGAATTACCATTCCATCCAGCAATCCCATTATTGGGTATGTACCCAAAGGAATATAAATTGTTCTACCATACAAGACCCATGTACATATATGTTCACTGCAGCCCTATTCACCAGAGGAAAGAGATGGAATCAACCTAAATGAGCATCAGTGGTAGACTGGATAAAGAAAATGTGGTTCATATACACCATGGAATATTATGCAGCCATAAAAAAGAACAAAATAATGTCCTTTATAGCAACATGAAGCTGGAGGCCATTATCCTAAGTGAACTAACACAAGAACAGAAAACCAAACACTGCATATTCTCATTTATAAGTGGGAGCTAAACACTGAGTATACATGGATGCAAAGAAGGAAGCAATAGACATTGAGGCCTAATTGAGGGTGGAGGGTGGGAGGAGGGTGAGGATCAAGAAATTACCTAGTAGATACTATGC